TGAAGTATGAAGTTTCGTCCATTACAAGCTGCAATTATTTTCGAAGAGTTAATTATTAATAATCAGGAGAGCTTTTCATTTGTTTGTTTCATTTAATAGCTACGGATGCATTGAATATTGCGCGTAAATTTTCGTAGCATGTAATAAATATCTCTTTTAATATAATAAACGTACAACAAAAATAGCTTAGATCATCATATAAATAAGATCGATATTAATCGTTGCCCTGAGTGCCTTGGTACCCGGCTAACGGAACTTGATTTCCGTCACTTCTCAATCTACCGTAAAAGATGCACAAGTCACGATAATGAAGATGGCGAGCATGAGGGAGAAAAAAAGTTCAGAATTAATAGGACTAAAGATTTAGAACGAGACACCAAGGATCTGCAACGATCTGAGAATTTGTGCAAAGAAACAAAATTTTAGGAATCTAAAAATTTATTGTTTATCCAACTTTTTAACTTTTTCCAAGAAATTAATCAATTTGTCTAAAGGATTATAAAATTTCTCGTATCACAGATTTCTTCTTAAGTGTACAAATTCATTATCGAATCTCGTGCATTTCACCCATTTTTATATCACCCTTCTTCCCTCTAAATTGCATAGCTTCGCTGAAGTCGGTAAATGATTATGCTGAATTTTCTCTTTTCCATCTTTCATTTAATGGAATGCGGCAACTAGCGTTGCGCAATATAGAAATAGTGGGTTTACAAAACATTGCCGCAGGAAAACGTAGGACATCAGTCGTTTTCCGATGGCATCCGCGAGCTTGTTAGAAAAATTAGCAATTGTTTTTCGTTTTTTCTTTTTAATCATAATAATTATTTCATAGGATCATATTCTGTATGTGTGTGTGTGTGTGTGTGTATGTGTGTATGTGTGTATGTGTGTGTGTGTGTGTGTGTGTGTATGTGTGTATGTGTGTGTGTGTGTGTGGGTGTGTGGTGTGTATGTGTGTGTGTGTGTGGTGTGTGGTGTGTGGGTGTGTGGGTGTGTGTGTGTGTGTGTGTGTGTGTGTGTAATGCAAGCGAAAAATAGATTGTATGTGTTACACATGCTGTCTTTTTCCACTTCATGCCCAGCACTTCTATAGCTTATATTTTTTATTTTTCTTTCACATTTTTTTTTCTTTAATTTTCTTCACTTTTCCTTACTGTTTCCTTTTCCCCTTTTCACTTCACTTCTCTCTCTATTGTCTTTTCTTTTTTATTTTTCTTTCTCTTTCTTCTGTTTATTCATAGTTTTTATTTAATTCTGAATAAGGCGATGGACTTAACTTCTCTTAGCGCTTATAAACTTAATAAATCTTTTGTTTGTTTGTGAAAACGTGCCAGGTGGTTCTTAGCGTAACTCGGGGCAACTCGGCAGGATATTTGTGAGCTAGTACCGTTAAGAGTATGTAGTATCCTTGTTCTGTAGTATAATCATACACCACTATGTGTTCTGTAGTAATTCGCTTATTATTTCTCATTGTTCCTCCTTCTCTTTCTTTCTCTCTTTGTTAAAATGCGTACAAACGGAGATACGGAATCATTTATAATAATATACATTAAACATATCGCGAAGGAAACGTGGCGCGCGTTCGTGACACACACACTTATTGATTATTATTATATTCTCATTAGTTTTTATTACTCATTACTCATTATTACTATTTTTAATTATTACTTAATTTTACTTAATAATAAGTTTATTAAGAATTCTTTACATGAATGTTTGCTGTCGATTTTTCTGTTCTTTCTTGCCTTCTTTTCCATTTTGTGATAACGATCTCGATATATTACAAAGTTCGTTCTCTCTCTCTCTCTCTCCCCCCCTTTCTGACGCTAATTTTCACACATTTTTAATTTACCTTTTCCTACTTTTCGGAAAAGTTTTGAAAATGATTGCATGAAGTCGATACGATAATTATATGTCCTTTCCCCATTAAATTACGTTAGTATAAGCTTCACACAGCCAAAAAATGAAAAGCACTTAAAACAGTGCTCAACACTATATAAACGAGTCCTTGATCAATAATTAATTGATTTAATTAATTCACAAAACGGATTCTGATCAACTAGTATGGCAGGGATGGCCGCCACCATATGCAGCCCTCGCGTTACAAATTTTTAATATATTTTTTGTTTCTTTAAATTTAGCCTACTAAATAGCTTAATTTGCAGGTCATTCTTGTGTGTTGTGTATATATTGTGTGTATGCATGTATATGTATACATAATAACATTAGTACTTTCTACTCTTTGCAAACGAATTACTTCTTTTTCCCTCGCAACGTGTCGAGCGCGACGTATTTTCTTTTTTTCCTGCGATTTATCTGCCCCGTGTTTTCTCCTGGCATCTGTTACATATACATATCTCAGTATATATGTATGTATATAATATATATAGGTATATATATTTATATCACACATGTACATGATATATAGGGTATTTCGTTAAATTTGAGAGCCGGTAGCAGGCACTTATTCCACGATGAATTTCGAAACGATTTTTTTTCCCCGAAGAGAATCGACACGAAAAGTCTGAATTATAAAATTGTCATGTAACTAAAAACATTTCAGCGAATCAATCTTGAAAGAAGGGTGCAACGCGATGTTTAGCAAGTTATTTTAAAGCTTAAAGAGATTATAAAGCTGCGATAAAAGTAACGCGATTTCAAAAATCTCGGAATAAATTCAACTGCAGACATATTCATCGAAGAATGTAACTTTGCTACTGATTTCCGCGCTGTACGATTCACCCTGTATATGATATATCTACATGCATTTACACATAATACTTGTCGCGGCATAAATCAATCGTCGAAAACGTTATCCGAGTGATAACAAACATTCGCTTTAATTCTTATACTATATTATTTTCAGCATCTTTAATATGTTTAACCCATATAATACCTAAATATATCACTTGAAAGCGATCGTCTCGATCTACGAGCGCTCGCACTTGCATTTTTCATCTTCTCAACTTTTTTTTAACGTGTTCTCCTTTTGTTCCTTTTTTTACACAGGCGGCGTACGAGCATCTTTCACGCCATAAAACTCTCTTATCCTTTTTTAAATGCGCAAGGATTCATTACGATTGATTCTACCTTTCGCATGTCGATCTTGTGTCTGTAATCTGCATTCGTTATTATTTTCACGTGATCTCAGACGATTAATTTTAGCAGTTTATTGCTATTTTAGTCCGATAGTGTCGATCGCACAAGATCGAGGAAGGAAGGATCGATCGTGACAATCCAGAGAGGGGCCAGAAAGGACGGGGGATGCTCGAGAGTGGTGCCGGCACTCTAACTTGCTTTTAATTTATTTGCTTTGTCTTGGAATAATAGTACGTGCTCAGCCTGATCACCATGATGCGTTATTTTATTATTACTATTATTACTATTAATTATGCTTTTGGTTACTCGAGAACTCGACACTGTGCCGATTATCTCCTCTTCGCATCTCCTTCTCGCATTAATTAATTAGCAGCGACGAATCATTTCATTCTATAGCGACAGCGGAATATAATTCTAGCTTCGTAGCGAGACTAATTGTTTTCTCTTTTAAAATTTTTTACCCTAGTTATTTCGGAATGCATCTTCGGCTCGCATGATTCATCTCATCAATAATTCTTTCTCTTCCTCTCATTCATTCTCATGCACACAGTACCATCCTTCCTTTCTCTCTTTCTCTGCGCGTTTACACATTCATTCACGCTCTTTGTCCTGATTTTCTTTTTCTATCTCTCTTTCTTAGATCATTGGTGGAGGAGACGCTTTGATAATTAACAGTCGCTTTGTTATTTCTTACAGAATTGTGAAGAGGATCATGAGAAAAAAAACTTCCTTTCCCTCATTCTCCGGGATAGAATATAGGCGCGACTTAATTTTATGAAAAAAAAAACATCGGCGACTACTCCCACTCACTCATTCGCTGCCACTTGTAAAACGTCAAAGTCCATTTTCATGCTCTCGGTGCACAAATTGAATGTCGAAAGTTACTCTGCCGCGACATCTTGTTTCACTTTTTTTTTCCTTTCTTTGTACGTATAATTAAAACTGCACGCGGCACAATGGAAGTTCAATGGATTTTCGGGTATTCGCTTTAACACGACGTTTTCATGTTTAGGAATCGAAAGCAATTTTGAAATTACTGACTAAACCAATTCCTACATCTCGATACATTTCCTCAAGTGGATAACTTTGGTATTATAAATTTTTGGAGTAACTTTTGTCTTATACTTTTATTTAGTTCAATTGGTTTAAAGGACGAGTCAAATGAGATGAATGTTAAAGATTATATAATTATTAAAACTGACTTGTGAGCAACTTTAGCGAGAATAATTTTCGAAATCAGATAAGAAGTCTATTCATCTTTGAAAGCTCGTCATTAAAGCTTCACCCTTCGCGTTTATTTTTAGACGAAAGTCTGCCGATGGAAATCGAACGGAATAATAACGCATCTGGCATTTTATAGTATTTTCTCTATCTAACAATTTTTCGTGTTTCTTTAACCGACTATATACAATCGCGTTGGCTTGATCGAGCCTACTTGAAATTTTGATACGAATATTATTGATAACTCCGACGCAGCAACAACGATGATGTAGTTCGCCACCTAATGGCTATCTTCGTGTACTCTAATGACTACTGGCTGCCTAACGAAGTAGTTCCTTGTTACCTAAATACTTCATCGTAGCATGTTTTTTTTTGTTTGATAGTAATAGCAGCAGTAGTTGTAATAGTAGTAGTAATTAGTAGTTAATAATAGTAAACAGTAGTGATAAGTAATAGTAGTAGTAATAATAATAGTAGTGGTTGCAGTAGTGATAGTAGTAAGAATAATAGTAGTAGTAATAAATTTATCGTTTACGTATGAAACATTTTTACTCTCTTGTTTCTTGCTCTCACGCATTTTCTTCCTCTTACTCTCTTTTGCCCTCCATCCTTCTTTCGGTCGATTTTAACTAGGCTGGTAGTTTGATGCGTAATTTTTTTATATTTTGCTTTTTTATTACTTCTATACGCGCGCGCGCGTCCTTTCTCGGACTAAATCAGCGAGGCGAAAGATTTGAGTATTGTATTGAAAGCGTGTAACGTAAATCTTCGTGTAATTATTGTATCAGTAATATGTTATTTTACCTCTCTCTCTCTTTCTCTCTCCTCTCTCTCTCTCTCTCTCTCTCTCTCTCTCTCTTTTCTCTCTTTCTCTATCATACACTCCAACTCTCACTCACATTCTCACCTCTCACGTGCACACACGCATACATACATACGCAAACACGCACACAGGCATGTCACTCTCTTCCTCTCTATCTCTTTTGCGATCTCTATCATACTGCGGACTAAAATTTCATTATCAACATTGTGTCTATTAAAAGACGAGATCAGTCATCTGTTAAATCCACTTCTAAAATTACCTAATAAAATCGAATCAATTGTTTCCTCTTTCTTTTCTCTCCCTCTGGTTATTTGCTTCGTCGTTTTCCCACATAATTGTTTGCTTGCCTAAAATGGCTGATACAGAATGAAATATAAGAATAACCAATGCAAATTGGTATTAGCACACAAACATTTAATGATGCGTTAAATAACGAATAGAGAATCAATATATATCCATGATCGATCCTTATACGCTTTTGCACCAATTACAGTGCAAAACTACTTCCGCCTTAAAAAACGGAGAACATTAATATTTGATGCCTCAATCATGTTTATTTTCTAATTAAATGCCTCTTCTAAGCATTTCGCTAATTCTCACATTATGAAAAACTGACAATCATAATATTGAGATTATTCCGTTGATTTGCCGTTCAACAGCATCTATATTTTTTTCGTGTATTACCGCTACGAATAAAGAAAACTACTTCTTTATTCTTTAAGTTAGTATTGGCTAATTTTTTAATTCTTGCTCCTATATTTTATTTAAAATCTTCATTATGTATCAGCCTTAAATTACATGCCGTGCGTCTTCTTTCTATTCTAAAATAATTAACTCCTTCAGTATCAAATTGAACACAAAGATTTTAATAGAATCCTTATTCTGCAAATTTTAATTAGCTTCCACTATTAACAAAACTGAACCGTCTTTGTGACAATCAATGGACAATATAACGTTACAGTAATGAGATACTGAAAAAGTTTATGTGAGTGGCTTTGTTCTTTCTTTTTTTGGTCGAATCAAGCGGCGATCGAATATTGATAACTTTGAGAAATGGAACAATGACTTTGCATTTTCTCTTTTGCGGATTCCTTCCTCGTGCTCTTGAACTCTATGCGAGCGAAGATACGTCCCATGAGTCGACTTTGGAATTCAGATCGAATCAGCATATCGGGGATCGATCGGATCGGGTCGGGTCGGTTTGACTCCGTAGAATGTACTTGGGGTAACACCTTGGCGCGATATAAATCGAGAGATGTGAAATGGCAGTCTTGGCAATTCTGCAACGTACTTTCGTCGTACGGAAAAAGATGAACGGATTTGAAAACTCTGTGTGATTGGGTGCGAGGATCGATTGGCATGCCAATTCGTTCTCCAGACAGTAGCTTATTTCAGTATCACATGTCTTCCTCTTCCTTTTTTTGACACAAACTGCTGTTTAACTTAGAGCTTGAAACACTGGCTTCTTCTCTTTCTGTCATCAAACTGACACACAGTGCAATGTTTTTCTTCTCCGAACAAGTTAGAAACCACCTTTGCAAAGAATACTAATCACATAAAATAATTTACTTATAAGAGAGGAAGAGGAAAGCTATAAGAGCTATATATAAGCTTTCTTTCAACGTGTTACAAGTTTCTGTTGTTCATCGTCAAAGAGGTAGCCTTGACAGCTCAATCAAAAATTATTTTTGTAAGTAATCACAGTGATCCTTTCATCTTTGAGCTTGAATAAAGACGAAGAACGTGATATACGAATTATTATCAACATACATGTTTCAAACTCTTGTTCGTGCTAGTTGTCATCGTCGCTATCTTGCTTCTGCAAGCAATCAACCACGATTTTTCGAGAAATGGTTATCGCACATATCGAAGACAGAAATATCAAACTGTACGCTTGAGAGATTGAAATTATGATTTGGGCATAAAATTCGCGCGCCATCGGCAGACATCTTCGGTTTTTTTTTTGGTTGTTGGACGTTTCTTATCGTTACAATTTCTCGCATCGTCTTGATATTCATATCCGATTTATTGTATAACATCTCGGAATTCGCTATTCAATATATACACCCCCGTCACTTAATACTGGTACGTAGTTTCTGCTTCCCTTAGCCTCGGACAAGCGAATAGATGACTCTTGCATACGATAAGAGCTTTAAACATAAACACAACGTTGTACTATAATTTGAATGTCGAGAAGCTTCTTGAAAAATGCAATCTACATATAATTTTACGGTAGTAATTTTAAGCAGCGGGGGTGCAATTCAAAATTGCTAGAATAATTTTTGTAATCACATTGTGGATATCATAAAAATTGTTTAGGTCATCATTTCTGCAAATCTGATTATGCGACAATCAATAATCTGAAATTGATCACCCTTTCGTTTTTAAGAAATGATTGAACTTCGTCAATTAATGTTCGACGTTATCGCTTTATCAACATTTAAATGTATTACATGTGCATGTGTGCGAATGTAACAAGAATGTAACGAAAGGATAAATTGTCGAATAACATATCGTAATGGTAAATAGATTCGAAAATCGGCTTATTCGGTGTCCTTCGGTTAAAAAAAAGAAAAACCAAAGAGGAACGGAACAGTCTACGCCGTACACACACTCCATCTCTAACTCTCGTTTTCCTTCCCTCCCGCCCCCTCCCCTCTCTTTCTCTTTGTCTGTGGTGATTATGGTTCGGTCCTTCATTCTTGATGCATCTTTCGCAAGCTTCCTTGTCGGTTTCCCTCTTTTGTCTCTTCCGCAAGCAGCAGTTTTTAAATGTCCTCGCATGTCCGCGATTTATCATAAAACATACTTTGTTAACTTACCCTCGCCCTACGTGTACGGTACGCAATTAATTTATACCGATAATAATTAATATAATATTATCTGGTACGTTCCCCATTTGTTGCTTCCGCTACCTACTAGCTCCTCCTTCTCTATTTCACCCGTGTGGCATTCCGAAAGTCGGAGGAGCCCGTAAGGACGGGGGGACACTCAGCAGCGCTTATACGAGAACGCCGTGATGCTTCTTCGGATGTTTCTATCGTTTGTTATCTTTATTTTTTTTGTTTTGAACACTGGAGTCGGTGGTGTCGGGGGTTGGGCCGTACGCGTGCACGCTCGCACACAAACGAGAATAATCCCGCCCCCTTCGTTCGCACGTGGGTCCTTACGCGGGGCGCAAGCTCGTTGAGAAGGTGGCAGGGTAGGCGACGATGTCTCGAGAATAGGCTACAGATTTATCCCATCCCCATTTCTCGCTTCCCGCACGTCCTTGGACCCACCCTACCTCTCTTCCGTTTCTCGCTACGTCTCAGATGGAAAAAGCAGCCTGATCAGGCTCCCCGAAGGACCACGATCCCGGTGATCCTTCGCGTGTTTCTGACCCGAGACGCCCCTCGCAATAACGGACCTGGACAGGCTGGCGAGTGATGCCAGCCGCTTACGACTATGATGACAGAGGTGAAGGAGGCCTACGTCAGGCACCGTAGGGAGATGCAGTTGCCCTTTGACAACTGGCTCAGTAACGGCCACCACGCTGCCACCGTCTCCTTCACTAAAATCAAAGGCGAGAAATGAGAATGTCAGTTGCTCGATGGCAATATTATTGGATTTACAATGCGCACCTAGTAGTCAGACGTCAGTCTCGATGCTCATGCAGGCTGGATTGATATTGTTATTATGGCGAGGGTTGCAATTTGACTTCTTCGTAATCTCTGGATGAGTAAATAGGGTGCCTTCCTCTAATTCCATTATATCCGATGAGGACTCCGACATCGAGATTTTCTTCAAGCCTAAAAGACACAAGCACGTATTTCAATCAAAATTTCCGTTTATTTTTTTTATCTCTGTCTGAATAACGATCTGTTCTCAACAATCCTTAAAGCGAAAGTATACAATACAATACATCTAATACATTTTAAAACCGATCCAATATGACGAATCTTTTAAGCGAACAAGTTTATTTTATTTATCGTTCATCTGACTGCTCGACTGTAAGTCTAACCTTTCGTTATGCAACAAAGTTTTGCTTTATAAAAAAACCTATTATAACTCCAATATTGTCATACGGTGTTCAACTCTGGAGGTCAGCCCCTAACTCCAACATTGAGATATTAGAAAGGCTTCAAAATAAAGTCCTAAGAATAATAATAGATGCACCATGGTACGTAACTAACGAAATTATACGAAGAGATCTCAATATCGAAGCAGTGAAGGTAACAATAGCAGCCCACACGGAGAAGTATGCCTCGAGACTGGGCTCGCACCCAAACCAACTAGCAACAAGGCTATTATCAGAAAGATTGGACACAAAAAGATTAAAACGACATTAACCTTTAGACTCTGTTAATAGATTCACTTAAATCGGCTTCTAAACAATTATAACGATTTGTTAATTTTTTCACTTAATACCAGTGAATAAAATCACAATTTTTCCAATTGTGAATATAAGAGGTACATTCCACTGGGAATGCACTTACACGTACATGTGTACAGGGTGTTATGTAATACCCGCCTCACCTCTTATTTACGGATAGAGCGGATTAGACTGAGTTAAAAAGTCCTGTACCATTTTGCAATTTTCGCAATGGTCAATGAGTTATTAATTATTAAAAATCGCTGTCTTAGCCCCGCCTACCGTCTAATTGAATCACGCGGCGAGACGCAGCCGTCCCACGATTGGCGTTACTAGGCGCGCGGGGAGTTGTTTATGACACACGGCAACTAATAAACAACTCCCCGCGCGCCAATCGCGGGACGGCTGCATCTCGTCGCGTGCCTGAATTGGGCGGTAGGCCGGACTAAAACAGTGATTTGTAATAATTAATAACTCGTTAACCATTACGAAAATTGCAAAATGGTAGAGGACTTTTCGTCTTACAATTAGTCCAATCCGCCCTATCCGCAAATAAGAGGTGAGGCGGGTATTACATAACACCCAGTATATTATTTGATTTACTTAATGTCAACGACAGATTGTAAATATACCGGGAGATAAATGTATCATTCATGATTCAACTTTCATTTATCTTCCCTACATTCTAGGCAGTGTCCAACTGCCTTTGAAAGAAGAAGACAGCGTTGCGCGACAACCAGCTGTCGTTTACGAACAAACGCCACTCGGATTTGTCTTCGAGCTGCTAACCCAGACAGCACAGATCTCCTGAAGACGTTTTAAAGACATCCTCTGGACGTCCTTATGTCTTAAGAATGTTCCCAGGACATCCATAGGATATCGTGTGCTGTCTGGGAATTTAAGTGCTCGCTACGTTTCTTAGTGTATTCTCCGTAATTAGACGTCTCAATTTTTTAATATTGGTTATTGTTGTAATTTTGAAATGTTATTGTGATTATATTCTCTGTGGTTCTGGGAGTGCGCGGTGTCGTACACGCAAAGTGAGGCGCGAGCGCACCAATATACAGGGTGCTACGCAATATATTGACTTCCGATCATGGGAAGGTAGAGGGGACTAAGACAAACAGAAAAGTATTGTACTATTTTGCGCTTGGACGAATAGTTATCGAGATACGAAATTTTAAAAATCGCCGTATTAGCCCAACCTACTGGCGAATGTAAGCGCGCGGTGAGATGCGTCGGCCTAGCGGCCCCGCTCGAGGCGGTGTTCGGCGAGGAATAGAATGGCGGTGCGGGGCGAGGAGTAGGAAGGCGAGGCGCGCCGCTGCCCGTCCGCCGCTTACGCGACCGCTCGTACGTCTCCCCGCGCGGGGCCGCTAGGCCG